CTGAGACAGGTCCGGAAATATATTGGCAACAGGGGGACTAATGACGTCAAGCTCGCGTTTATAAGGAGAATAGTGACGGAACACAAACGTACGGTCCGACTGACGCAGATCTTAGCCAAGAAGACACTGGAAAAAGAACATACTCTATCGGCTGGAACTCTATCGGAGATACGAGAAAGACTGCATATCCAGCGGTGCTTTAGATGCCTGCAGTTTGAGCATAGTAAAATCGACTGCAAGGGAGAAAACAGAGCGGGCTCCTATTACAGATGTGGCAACGGGGTCACTAGGTACGACAATGCAGTAATTAGAAGGCTTTTTGCATAACTTTTAAAGAAGTCGGCACAAAGCCAACATCTTACTATGCCCGGAATATAGAAAACTCATATTGTAAAAACGAGAGCTCAAGAGAGCCCCTATCAGAAGGGTAGAGGAAAGAGTGGGTAAAAGCACTTAGGGCCAGAAATCAGACAGCGTACGTGTAATTAAGTAAAAGAGTTAAGAACTATTTATTATGAAGTTTCTATAAATAAATGTGGAAAGGACGAGGGTGACTCACGACGTTGCAGAGGCACTCGCAGGAACGGAAGGTTATGACATGATCCTCTTTCGGGAGCCCAATGTAAAATTGGTCTCTCGATACATGGTCGTGTATAATTGATATGTTTTACCAAACATCGAACCAAATCAGGATACCACGTTGGTCCAGCGTATTCAAGTATGGGTCTTACGTAAAAGAATGATTGCATTGAAACTCTCGAGAAACACCTCCGAATAAGATACAATCTGGAGTTCGCACGTTTATAAATAGAGGTAATATGGTCCGACCAAGTTAGGCTGCTGTTTACGATAACACCAAGGTTGTTATACAAGAATACAGAATTTAATGGCTGCCCGTTAACAAAGTACGGCACAAGTGTGTTATTTTTAGCAATTCGAAGCACTACATATTTTTCCGCATTTAAGGGTAGTAACCATCACTAAGAACACCAAGTTAAAATAGAGTCCAAGTTAATTTGGAGGGTTAGCTGGTTTGTGATTGGATTGGCATATATTTTTGCGTCATCAGCGTAGAACGATACTTTACTTGAGACATAATAAGGAACATCGCTGGTATAAACCGTAAAAAGCAGAGATTCAAGGACAGAACCCTGAGGCACTCTACTTTCGATTAACCTATCATGTGAGCAAAATTCGCCAACTCTACCTTTGTAATGTCGATCTGTCAAAAAATCATGAATTCAACGAAGTAAAGTACGGCGAACTCCGAAATGTTCTAGCTTATGTAGAAGTCTGCACTTAGGGGCACGCTCAAAGGCTTTAGAGAAATAGATAAACGACGTCGACTAGCTGCAAACTATTAAGGGATGACGTCCAGTCGTTAACACAATGTAGGAGATTGGTTAGAGTAGAGCGACCAGGGACAAGTGCATGTTGTTGTGTTGAAATAACATATTCCTGGAGAAGTAATTTGGTCATCTCCTCGGAAATAATGGCTGCCATAGCTTTGGCAACTACTGATAGCAAGCTAATTGGACGAAAATATTTGGGGTCGAGTTTGTTGACTTTATAAAAATAGGGACGGATGCTAATTTTTAACAGGGATAAGAAGTTCTGGATGAAAGCGGCTATGCGAAGATTAATTAACTGTTGTTTGAAATGATCTCTTGTGAATTCAACTTGCTGTAAGGATGCACCGACACGATTTGTAACGATTAAAACGTTACATGTTTGTTCTTATTAATTTCAAAGTACTTTCTATTATTTTCTGCTCTTACTATTTGATTCTCGTTGATAATAACTTCTTTATTCTTTGTTTTTATTTCTATATTTCATTTAGAAAAGGTACTTAAAAATAAATCTTCGTGGTCAGAAACTTCCAACAGTCTGGCCACCTGGTTTAGGTTTAAGAAAATCCACATAGTTTTGGATTTAAGAAAATGCACATGGTTTTAGTTTTAGAAAATCCACATGGTATTTGGATTTAAGTTTCTTAAGATTTCTTTAGTAAAAACCTGTGAACATGCTAAAGAGAGAGTTTCGGAAGATTATTTGTCAGAAGAGCATAAAGTCTTGTTGGGTTTTTTAAAGTAGAGAAATGGAAACTTTAGACATCAAGGAGGAACGTATGTATTTGTAGACTTTTTAATGTTACCACTATCATTAAATTTGCTTCAAAATTTTGTCTTACACTTTTTAGAGATGTTTGTTGTTTGAAGTTATGAAGTTTATAAAGTTATTTGAAAATCTGAGGTGGCTTTGGAAATCACTGAGAAGCCCGGTATGTTTAAATTTTCGCCATGGATGTCCTTTGTGATTAATTTGTATAATTCTTCTTCTTCTCATCGCGCCGTCTCCTTTCGAAGGTTGGCGATCCAAATGGTAATTGTAGTTTTGGAAACTGCTGCGCGAAAGATTTCTGCGGATGAGCGGTCGAACCATCTCCTTAGGTCTTTCAACCATGAGTTCTGGCGTCTTCCTACTGATCTTTTGCCCTGTACTTTTCCGTCCAGTATAACTTGACGTCCAGTAGTGCTGACCAGGGACAAAAACATATGTATAGAGACATGGTAGACACGCAGTTAGAGTCTAAGACATTAGCTTCCACTAAAGAGAAGACAATAAAAGAAAACATTGAAGACATGTGGGGAAAAATTAAAAACTGTCCTGGAGGCAGCAAACCAAAATATACAGAAAAAAAACCATAAACAAAGAAAACCATGGATGACAAACCAAATATTACAAATTATGTAGAGGAGACGGATGGTAAAAAACAAAAACCTAACAAGATACAAAGAGCTTAACAAGGAAATTGAGAGCAAGATAAATGTAGCTAAGGAAGAGTGGATGTAAAGAGGTAGAAGATCTGCAAAGGAAGCATAAAGATAGAGAATTACACAGAAAGGTAAAAGAAGTCGCTGGGATATGAAAACCCAAACATTTATCTATTGTAACAAACACGAAAAACCAAATGGAACTAGACCCTGAAAAACAGAAGGAAATATAGGCAAAATATCTTAAAATTGTTTGGTGATCGGAGAGCAGAAGGGCCTCCAAAAATAGATACCGATGGAAAACTAAGTATTCTAACCGAAGAAGTTATGCGGGCAATAAAAGACGCAAAGAACAACAATGCACCCGGCGAAGATCTAACAACAGCCAAACATTTTAAACACCTGAGTGATGATGCTGTCGCGAAATTATCCTACCTCTTTAACATTATATATGAACATGGCACTCTACCGCATGACTGGCTAACATCCACATATGTAGCTGTTCCTAAAAAACAAAAAGCAAGGAAATGTGAAGACCATCGAACTGTATCCCTAATGAGTCATGCTGCTAAGATTTTTATGCGAGTAATTTATAACCGCATTCACAATAAGTGTGAAGAATACCTGAATCGTTCTCTATATGGTTTTAGGAAACGTACAGTCACCAAAGAAGCAATAATGGGATTGACACTAATGGCAGAAAGGTATCTCGAGGTACGAAAACAGCTGAATGTGTGCTTTGTCGATTATAGAAAAGCCTTCGACCGCATTAGACACGAAAAATTAAGTGAGGTGCTAAAAGAAGTAGGGCTGGACGGGCACGACATAGCTATAATAAGCAGTCCAGTCTTCTTCTTCTCGTGCCACTCCTAGCGGAGATTGGAAATCATCATGGCCACTGCGACTTTGTTAGCAGCGCGCCTGAAAAGTTCAATCGAACTACACCCGAACCATTCACGTAGATTACGAAGCCACGATATTTTTCTTCTTCCCACGCTTCTTTTGCCCTGCATGATGTTTCTTAAAAGTTCGTACTTTTCACCTCTCACAATGTGCCCCAAGTATTCCATCTTTCTAGTTTTTATCTCATTTAGAATTTCGCATCTTTTGTCTAAAGTTTGGAGTACTTGCGTGTTAGTGACGCGGTCCATCCATGATATTCTGAGAATGTGCCTATAGCACCACATCTCGAAAGCTTCGATGTTTTTTATGGTCAACTGTTTTAGTGTCCAAGCCTCAACTCCATATAACAGGGTAGAAAAGACATAACACCGCAGCATTCGCAGTATAAGCAGTCCAGTACAGAGAGAAATTTGCCATATTGATCGCCAACCTCAATAGAGAAGGCACTTAGGAGAAGGCGGATAACTTGACGTAATTCATATTTTTCGCCTCTCAACACATGCCCAAGTATTGCATTTTCCTTTCTTTGATTATTCTTAGTAATTCTTTTTGTTTACACATTTTATTTAATTGCTGTTCAATTTATTCAAGGTTTAAGGTTGTTTTTATAAATCTTACGGAAGGTGGTATTTGTAGAAATTATATTGTGGACTTTATCGAGAAATGCAGTCCACATTAATGAGGGGTCGTTTAAGTCTGCAAAAAATAAATGCCAGTCGATTTGAGAGAGTTCAGTGTCAACTTCTGAAAAGTCGGTAGGAGCTAACGCTACAATATTACTTTTGCGGGATAGTATTTGATTGAACTGGATGTGAGCTGTTATAACTACATGATCCGACTTTCCTATAGGAGAACTGACTTTGAGAGATGAAATCAGCTGTTCGTCATTAATAAGCACTAATGAGTTGTATAATATTTTTCAAATAAACACACATAACTTTTTTCAATGAAATTCGTATGGATTTCTAACATTTTATTTATAATGACGTTTCTGACATTCGTATTATAACTTATTTTTGACCCTATGCTAATTTTTTTAGCCTTACCCCTTTTTTTTACTTGGCTGGGCCAATATATTCCTTGTCAACAAAATTAATGTTTCTCTGAAATTGCTTTAAAAATTAATCAAAGAGATTTTAAGCAAATTGGTTTAATTGGACCACTTAGTATACATCAAGAAGTTTAAAATATAATATTAAGTTTTCGTCATTATATGTAAATTTACGAAAGAAATAATGTCATAATATAAGTCGCTTGTTTTGTTTGGTAACAAGTTTTTACTTATTCTAAATTAAAGTATTAATAGCTTTAAGATCTACTTACTCGTATAAAAAAATAGACCATAAAAAATATGTTAAAGGCAAGGTCGATTTGTTGGGTAATATTGGAGCTCCATTCTTGGCAACGTTCTACCTTTTCACTGAAAAACAAAATCACAGTGTTAATTAATATAAAATTATAGACCACTAGGTTATATTAAACAGTAAATATAAAGCTTTAATTATATAGTTAGATTTAATTTATGGGTACAATGTAACGCGTGCAATGTAACTGTTGTATTGTACGTCACATACAGTGAACGGCTAAATTATGGAATATTATCATTATTTCGAGAACCGTCGAGTTTTGAGGAAAATCCCGAAACAGGTCGATTTTTGTTATAAAATACCCATGTTATAACGTACATGGAGTAGGGATGACGTCACCAGTGTCGGTTTAGTGACGTAATCGTTAATTTTTTTAAATAGAAATCGTTATAATGCGACAGCTCATTTAAACGAAAATTTATTTCTCTATTTAACGACCTGACATTTTTAACTAAAATATTTGTTTAAGGGTACAAAATCAATTGTTTTTAATTTAAATTCAACTAAATTACAGCTAATGATCTAATTAATAATGTACTTTAAAGTAACCAAATTATGCATAATAATTATTTTAAATTAAATGTTCGAAATGCCATCCATGGGTTTCTTGACAATATGTGAATCTACGGACACATTCATCAAGTAGATTGCGGATGACTTCTGGAGTAATTAGACTCATTTCATGCCTAATTCTATCTTTCAAGTCCTGTAAATTTTGAAGTCTATTGACATAAACTTTTGATTTTATATAAACTCACAGGAAAAACTGTAGAGGTGTAGATCTAGAGACCTTGTTGGCCACTCTATAAAACCTCGTCTTCCGATCTACCTCCTGAAAAAGCAATGATTTAAAAATTGACGTACTTCATGTGCGTAAACGAAAAGGGGCTCCATCTTGTTGAAACCAGATATTTTCACTAGGTAAATTTGTATTATTGGCATTTGCTTACATGAAGCAAGATCAGGTATAAGTTGATTTCTCAAAAAAGTTAAATAACATTTTCCTATTAGATTTTCTTCAAAAAAAAAAGGCAAATGATTCTCTCATTAATGATCCCTGCCCATACATTTACTTTCTGAGGATATTTCGTGTGTGACTCAGTCATCCAATGAGGGTTTTCTTGACTCCGTTGACAATGTAATAAAAAATATGCCTCCATCAGAAAAAAAGATTTGATAGATGAAATGTGGATTGTGGATACATAAATCCTGCACAATTTCAGAAAATTGAAGGCGTCGTTTAATTCCTGATGTAGTTGAATTTTGTAGGGATGGTATTTTCTTTTTTTTATACGTAATACCCTTCGTTGGGAAACTCCAGTATATTCACCCATTTGTGTTGAACTACTATGAGGATTGTCATGTAAATTTAATAAAATATCAAGTTTCACATTGTCTTTCATTTTAGGACGCCCAGCCTTTGGAATATGTTTAATGTGCCCAGTTTATCCAAATTTTCAGACTATTTTAATTATTGTTGATTGGCTGATGGGTCTTTCGGGATTTTCCTCAAAGTGGTTGTTGTGGTCAAATGTAGTTGAATTTTGTAGGGATGGTATTTTCTTTTTTTTATACGTAATACCCTTCGTTGGGAAACTCCAGTATATTCACCCATTTGTGTTGAACTACTGTGAGGATTGTCATGTAAATTTAATAAAATATCAAGTTTCACATTGTCTTTCATTTTAGGACGCCCAGCCTTTGGAATATGTTTAATGTGCCCAGTTTATCCAAATTTTCAGACTATTTTAATTATTGTTGATTGGCTGATGGGTCTTTCGGGATTTTCCTCAAAGCTCGACGGTTCTCGGAATAATGATAATATTCCATAATTTAGCCGTTCACTCTATATTCGTATAAATGAAGAAGTGATCATATAAATCAAAATACTCGTATGTATTTCCAATTTTTAAATTTGCTCCTCACTGTTATTAAAAGTTAAAATTTTAGTATTACGTGAAGAAAATATGTTATAGGAAAATAGCTTCACAATAATATTTCAACAGACATTTTACTGTCAAAATTTAAAAATTATTTCCCTGTTAATGTTATTACAATAAACTTTGTCAAGTGCTCAGGTGCTTCATTGTTTTTTTTTTATTTTAATAAATCATCTTAAAAATCTTTTGAAGGCAAAAATTATTATAAGGTTCATTTTATTTTATGGTCTGCAGAATTTTCTTGAATTTATGGGATATTTGTAGAAGAATTTATTAGAGAATTTATGGGATATATACTGAATATCTTATTAAATATGTTTATGGAATATTCAATAATATGGAATAACTACAGCTGTCAGTACGGCCTACTCACGTGCTTTGGAGCTGGCAACACCTAACTACCTAGCCTGAGGTAGGCTAATCCTAGAGGATTATGAGGACCTAACCTCATAATCTGGAGGCCACATAAGCAAGCAGCCCATCGTTGCCACAAGTATCGTTCAAATGTATTTAATGTAAAGTATCGGGCAGGGTTGTTTGTGCTATTTAAATATTATGTTTTATAAGTTAAATAAACATGATTAGTTAAATAATTGTTTTATTTGCTACTAGCTAAGGGTTTATTGTTTCAATTCATAGTTCATTCATAGTTCAAGACAAGACGAATTCACACTTGAGAGACTGAGCTAGACGAAACATAAACGACAAGCTCCCATGGTTGATTGAGGTATTATTTTTATAGTAGTATTTCAATTCTCTTTGGTAGTATTATCGTTACACATTGGCCAATGTACATGTGAAAACCTGTCAATGGTTTCAAGAGCAGAGGATGGCTGGAAAAGTCGCAATAGTCGATAGGGTAGACAAACCAACAGCGTCTGATCCAAAATGGGCGGCTAAAGAAAAAGTCCTTCAAACGGGGGTTCTAGCGTTAGGAATTAGCAACCTAACACACAGCAAAAGGTAAGGGTAGGAAAAACTAAAATCGCAAGATGAAAAAGCCAAATACGGAAATCCACACCTCTAATAGAGTGAGCCCCATCGGATACTGCGAAGAGTTCGGAAGAGTCTTATCAAAGCTCAACCAAAAATCAAAACGAAGAAAAGATAGAACACATTCATATGTGAAACGTGGAATATACAAGGATGTAACAAAAAGGCGTAAGGTAAGATTGAAAACTCTGAAAGCAAGATTGGAAATTTTGGATTCGGCACAAGAAACACAAGAGGAGAAAAACTCATGGAATTCCTGGAACAAGAAAACATGTTTGTTATGAATACCTTTTACAAAAAGAAACCTAACAGAAAGTGGACATGGGTCGCACCTAACGGAACTACCAAAAATGAAATAGACTATTTTCTCTCAAACAACAAAGGAATATTTGAAGACGTCACAACAATAAACAACGTAACAACGGGTAGTGACCATCGTGTAGTCAGAGCAAAAATAAATATTAACATGAAAGAAGAGAGAAAAAAGATTTTAAAAAAAACAACGAGGATAGATGCCTTTAAACTAAGAACAAATGAAGAGCAATTCCGAGAGGTCTTATAGGATAAGTTCGAACCTGATCCTTTACATAATCAAGATCCAAATTGGCTAGAATAATAAAAACCTAAATAAAAACCTTCTCGCAGCAGGACTAAAGGTCGCAAAGAAAATAAAGACTAAAGAAGACAAAATAAGCAATGAAACTAAACAGCTAATGACGGAAAAAAGACAACTTAATAAAACAATTAGAAAAGAACTAAAACGCGACATACAAAAATGGAACGAGATCTTAATATAGCGAGTCATTGAAAACAACAGAGGCTTAAAATGTCTAAGACCCGCACTGAGAGTTCAAAAAGTCATCAAAATTAAAGACGCCAACAATAAGGTAGAGAAGGACAAATATAAAATAACAAATATTGTCGAAGACTTCTACACATCCTTGTACAGCTCGTAAGGCCAGCCTAATGAAACAATAAAGGAGAACATCAAAAGAAAAAGAAAAAACGTGGGATCAGAAGTACTACCAAATATAAAGGGATACGAAATAGAAAAAGCTTACCTACCTAACCGGTTAACCTACAAAATGGATTAATTACCAACCGGTTGAACAGGCTGGCTTCCGCAAAGCTTCCGCTACATCAGACCACCTGCTGACAATGAGAACATTGATAGAGAAGGCAAATGAATACCAAGTACTTGTATTTCTTGCCTTCGTCGACTATGAAAAGGCGTTTGATAGTATCGAGATGTGGGCCATGGAACAAGCTATTAATAATTGTAGAATAGATTCGAGATAAAAGCAACTAATACATAATATATATGAAAATGCAACTATGATAGTACAACTAGACGAAAATACAAATCCCATCACTATTAAGAGAGGAGTGAGACAAGGAGACGTAATATCGACAAAGCTTTTCAGCCTAGCCCTAGAAGACGTCTTCAAAACTACAAATTGGTCAATGTATGGCATTAACGTTAATGACAATAAGTTAAACCACATCAGATTCGCTGACGACATAGTGATTATAGCGAGCACATTCGTGAAACTGCAAATTATGTTGGGGAACAGCAACAAGCAGTTGCTGTTCCCAATACGTCGGCCTAAAAATGAATATGAAAAAAACAAAAATAATTACAAACACAGATGACCCCAGACATATAACTATAAACGGCAGTGAGATAGAACAAATTCAGAAATATATCTACCTAGGCCTGAGACTTGACAAAGAGAACCAAAGTGCGGAAATTACTAGAAGAGCAAGACTAGCATAAGCAGGATTTGGAAAACTTAGTTGGATACTTAAGAACCGCAAAATATGCTACTACTTGAGAAACAAAGTGTTCAACCAATGCATCCTTTCTATCATGACATATGGATGTCAAACCTAGACCCTAACCAAGGCAAACATGAAAAAACTTGCCACAACAGAAAGAACAATGGAAACAGCAATGTTAGGTATACGACTGTCAGATAAAAAAATGAACGACTGGGTAAGATCCAAAACAAAAGTCGAGGACATAACAACAAAAATTGCCAAACTTAAATGGAGCTTCGCGGACCACACTGCTAGACAGAAAGACTAACGTTGGAATACTACAATACAACATTGGAGAC